CTATACACATTTTCTGTTTAGATTTTGATTCAATGCATATATCATTATATATAATAACATATCAAATGTTAGATTTTCTTGCATCTACAACGCCAATTTTGACATTTTATCAATTTTGCATCAAACTCAAAATCAAACTCTTACATATTTTTGAAATTTTTCAGATTTCAATTCATTAATTTTTTTAAATTTATGTTTAATAAATTTGACATCTATATTTTAATTTTACTATGAACAAAACAAGCATATATTCATAACAAGAATAATATCAGGTTTAGTGCAAATCTTTAAAAACATGAGAATATTACTCAAATATTGGAAGTAACTTGAACACTAAGCTTTCTTCATATCATCTGTAGGATAAAACATTGACATGTAAAAAGAAAAAATAAGTAACAATCTTGTAATTTTTATGTTGAATTTTATAAATATTCTGTTGATGTATTGTTCTTATGCTAATTGTGGCTTCATATGCTTCAATTTTTTTAAATCTTTATCTCCGATTGTATTTTGGTTCTTTGATCTTTCAATATAAATTCAAATTCTATAATCAACATCAAATCTGTTTCTAACTATATAAATATGTCATTCACATAAAATAATAGAGTCATAAGATAAAATTATCAAATTTTTTATTATATTCTTCAGACATCTTCTCAACTTTACACAGATGTTATAGCAATTGAATGAAAATAATTTTATTCAAATAGCATGAAACAAATTGAATTATCAAACTAATGAGAATAAGCTAAAACTTTTCATAGTGACAAAGTAAAATTTCCTTTATATATTTGTTGTGGAAGCAATTTTTGATAATTTTCATGATGAAACACAACTAGATTATTTTAAAGAAAATCATATCTATCAAGTTGTAGATTCAATAGCGTGAGGAGACTGATAAAAGCTTGACCCTCGTACTCTTATCAGAATTCAATTTATAAAATTTGTTATGAGTTACAATATAATTTATATCCTAATTGTTTAATGAGTAATTATTTATTGATTGTGTTATATCATTTAACTTTATTTGTTTTTATTTCAATTCAAGTGACATATACATATTGTATGTGTATCACCATACAGTACGCTCATAATATTACAGTACGTGAAGGTAGTACTTGGCGATAAATCATGTTATACGTTGGTCTCTCGTGTTGATAGCTTCGTTTGTTTAGTATGTCACTAATGATTTTCATGTTCTACAATGCAAAATTTTCTTATTTCATATTTTTTAAAAAAAATTAAAATTTTTAACACAAAAATATTCATTGATTTGTTAAGATTGGTCGCATGATACTTAGTTCAAAAGTTTTGGCCTCAATGTAAACATTGTTTGACCTTTTTTTTTCCATTATTTGTTGCTTATGAGATCTTTTAATCTTCACATTCAACATTTTGGCTACAAATTTTTTTTACAAAAAAACCATTCTTTATAGATCATACATATAAATGCATGATTATTTTCGGCAACCGTATACCAATGTTACTAAATTTCTAAATCTAAACTCCTTATGCGCCTAAATTAACCAGCGTATATACACCCTTATTGGCTTAGAATTGGAGCATTGTAGATCGGAGTATATCAGCCATTCAATTTGTTACCACGTAAGTCTCATAGCTCACAATAATTAATCGGTGAGGTCGGAATCCGGTGTTATGAATTAAAATTTCTTTCCCCTAGAACCTCATAGGCCGACTACAAGACTTAAGACTCTATGTCCCGTTACTTCCGAATCCCTCATTGGTTCTCAAGTTCACTTGGTATGACTTTCATCACAAAAGTGCCTAAATTACCTAAATTAACTTTCATGAAGTGACTATTATAAGCGTTTTAGCTCATTTAAACGACCGACTAATATAACCATGCTTGTACATATATAATTCACACATTAGTTTATTGAACTTGATGAACTTTTCAATCAGCATGAAATAAGATCAGTTATAAAAATTGATTCAACATGCAACTTTTGATAGAGTTTTTTGTATTTAAAATCACTATCAATACCTGATAAATGCTTGCAAAATTTATTGGAAACATGAGTATTGTATATTTGTCTTACATTTTTTAATGTTAAATTTTGTAAGCTTCAAAAATGACAATTGATAAAAAAAAAATTTGCAATAATTTTTTTGTTTTTTTAAAACCCTTAAACTCTTAGAGCACGTTGATACATTCAATTTTGATTGAAATTATTTGAATGTGGACTATAAAGACAAAAAAATTGATTACAGTTTACTCCTACATGTCATTCCATTTTTCTTTTATCTTCAATATTTTTCTGAGCAATATTTTTCACTATTAGCTTTACAGATATTTCCAATGTGAAATTCCTATATGATTTTATCAAAATGTACAATATTATGATATTTCATGTCAAATTATTCTATATTATTATTTCTACTTACTTTAATGCTTGATTAGATTAAAAATATGAAGAATAAAAATAATTTTCATTCATATTTGCTCTCATCTCTATGATCGTTTTAAAGTCTCAAAATCATAAGATCAAGTATATTCACAATCAATATCTACACTTTGTTGTTTTTTTTAAATCTACTTGATTAAGATTAAAATTATCAATTGTTATGTTGTATGATGTTATCTGTCATTATTTTTTTGCAATTGGATCAAAAAATATGATTATAATAAAAATGAAATTTGAAAATTAACTGACTATTAAATCAATTCATATTTGATTCTTGCAGTCTTTTGCTAATCGTCACTCTTTGTGATTTTTGTTATGAAATCAAGATATTAAAAATATCAAATTTGTTGATTGTTGGTCACAATGTTATTTTTATATATAGATAATAGATAATGATTGCTTAATGATAAACAATCATACTCACAATAATTTTTAAAAAGATTGTAAACTAAGTTGGCATGATTATTCTTTCATCTTACATTTATAGCTCAAAAATAAAAATTCTTTCAAATTTTAAAATTTTATTATAAAATCCCACTCCAAATCTAAAAGACTTATCAAAACATTTCAATACAAATCGTCACATATATTTGAATGTTGATGGAGTCAATATCCACATAGTAGTGTTTTTTCAAAAAATCAACACAAGATAAATGAGGTGCATACCAGCTAAACAGAAAGATTAATTTACTGAAATCCTATGTCATTGACAACTAGAATCATCTTTCTTATGTAGTGGCATGCTTATGGATGTGATTGGTCATAATTGGATTAGCTAAAGTTTATTGAAACATATATTAATTTTTTACAGTAATATTCAATCAAGACTTTTCAAGCAAAATCAATAAGATTAAATATGTACAAATCGATTTTCAAAGCTTCAAAAGCTATCATCTTGATGTGTTGCAGAATATACTTTATATATTGTGCAACACATCAAGATGATGTATATAATATAAAATCAAAATACGATAGCATAAAAGAGGTTCATAGCTCTATGATAGTATATATCAGTTAAATTCTTTGATTTTTCTAAATATATTTTAAAATACTTTTTTTCCATCAAAACTATCACTTGTCCTGTTTTGACTGTGATAAATTTAACATGAATAATAACAAGTACATACATATTACATGTAATTGAGATAAAATTTCAATATCTTATAATTCTTTCCAATCTTAAGATTCAATTCACTTCAACTTGCAAATTATAAATGGGAAGAAGAGTATCTAAATAAAGCTAAATGATCAATGGCATATATGTATGTCAAACATCTCTAAAATCAAGATAGAAAACTGACTCTTTTGTAATACAAGATGTTTTAGACCTACATAGACATTTGGATATATGTACTTTTTGGATCTTAAAACAGTAATTAATTATTAAATTAATCGAACCTGATTCTCATTAAACAGACTACTATAGTAGATCATTTTAGGTTAATAGGTTTAGTTGAAGACTGATTTCCATACACTGCGAAGTGCTTACGCCACATTTATTATAAATTATAAATCAGTATGTTTATAGAACATAAGGTCTGATGTGTTGCTTGCCATCAAATATATGTATGAGTCAATATAATAAAGGATTCTAGACTTAGTTATATTAACTCCAGGTGTAAATCTGGACTAAAAAAGATTACTGCACTATCACACTCATTCATAACAAATGAACTTGTTCTTTCGCTAGTCCCTTTGGAATTTATATATGACAAAAGATCTTGTGACGCAATTTCTGGTGCAGGAGTTTGATTCGATTGTATAAGTTTGTTTCGGAGGTTGTCACATATATCATCGCCATTACAATTTAAATATTGAGGTCAATGGCTATGATGGTGTGCAGCATAAGGAAGTGCGCTCTATGCAAATGATCTAGTTCATGCAGTTAACAATGAACCTGTTTTTAAATCCTATCCAACCTTCTGATAGTCTCAAAATGAATGCATGTGTTAGGTAACACATTAGGAGTATCTAACAGTAACTCGTAACCATTTTTGGCGTTCGCAGAAGAGGTTTTTACTGGTAACGTGGATGATTTTGTTGACAAAAGAGCACGTCGAAATCATGGGCAACAGTATATTCCATTATAGTTGGTCAATAGCTGCAATCCTAAGAACCAAACAGAGGTTTACCTAAAAATTTATTACACTGACGAGAAGTTTTGATTGATCTGGTCAAATTAGCGAAGCAATTCTATAAGAGATGTGGAAAACTTAACTGAGGAGCCTAGATAAGTGATCTGGTCAAATTAGTGTAACATTTCTATAGAATTGAGGAAAATGTAACAGAGGAGACAAGTTGAATGAACAGGTCCAAATAAAACAATAGAATTTAGAAGCCATGAAGGTACTCAGCATGTGAGCATGTGATAAAGTGAATGTGTTTAAATAAGATTTGCTCATCCCACGTTGGCTCGATTCATCTTCTCAGTTGTGGTGTGAACCCATCACATTACAAACGTTACATGGACGAATGTTTCCGTAAAACTCAATAGATAATACCTTCAACAGTTACAGTTTCTTAATAATATAAGTTAATTTAATTTATATAAGTTATAGCATCCTCTAGCTAGAGGATTTTGTTCTGATAGAAAATACTGCACACGGTAATGGAAGGTTTCAGATTACAATTTCAAGGGCACGTGGTCTATCCCGAAAAGAATACTAAGAGGAGCTGCTGTTTCACCAGAGGATGAGAACTGACTCACGCACCGCTACTCCATGGATTTTGTACACATATATGGCCTCGTGAGATGATCAAGTATAGAAGATGATAAAGTACTCCAAAGATGTTTTCTCTGCAATAACTGCACGCGAACTTACCCTGGACTTATTTACACTCCAAACCTTCGTGTCTCACAATAGCTCCGGATGTCCACCTGTTTACGGTGAGGTTTGGGCTGCAAGCTTGATTCTTCATTCATAGAATTGAGTATGAAGGAGCATTGGAGGTCCGTTACCGAGTCAGACGATGAGGTACACAGTGTCCCAATCGAGGATTGTACGTACTTGGCAGTACCTTTCTGGAGTGGGCCCTCACCTTCCGCACAAGTAGACCAACTTGTACTCTTCGACGGATTACATTCAATTCTCTCGCAAAGAGTCTCGTATTCTGCAGATGGCAGTAGACATGAATGAAAGCTACACGACAACTGCTGCTACTGCGGTATCTATAGCAGCCCCTAGACAAAATGTGACCGCATAGGAAAGTGTATTTGATAGCGAGGAGATTTGAACCTGACGTACCCCCAAGACCTTGTACCTTCAAAGCATGTATTGAAGGTACTTGCAACTCGAGGTGCATGCTTGACTGAAAGTAGCCCTCCCAGAACGTGAATATGATGAAAGTCCTATAAAAGTAGAAGAGATGTTTTGACCTACTGTACTGCCTTCACTCCGTTCTTTTCAGATAGAATCGAAGAACGATAGATACTGTACGTTGCGCTGCACCCACCTCGAACACTACACTACGGCGCCTCAGTAGAAAATGTAATATCTGCACGGTAAAGCTCCAACAGAAGTCCAAAAGTCGAGCAATAAAATATAAATTAGAGTGTTGTGAGCTGAACCCGTCTTAAACGCAAATGATGCAAACAGCACATCAAACGCCTATATTGACAACCGTGTACAGTATGGAGTATTGCACAAAGATATTTACAATATTGTCAAACCGGACACCACAGACCAATGAATGATCGAACACAAGCTTTAAAAGGCTGCCCACATTTCTTGCCTCAGATCGCAGAGAGCATGACATCGATGGAATATGATTGAAATTCTCAAGAGATCGGAACCTAAAACGGACACCACTATATACCCGTCGCGACAGACGAGGTTAGTAGAGTATCACAATGCAATACTGTTGACCTACTAATCGATGTATTCTCCGGATTGTTTGAATGGAAGGTGACTTCAGCCTCGAGGCAGGCATCGAGAAGACCGTGGTGTCTATAGGTTAATATATTCACGCCAAAAGATCCTGGGGATTTGACTTGCTTATTCTAGTACTCTGGACAAAACACATGAGTGGAAAATACATTCAGGCACAAGCTCTGAGAAAACACATACAAAACGGCATGTCTATATACATTTTTTTACTGGCGGAAGGACGAGACGAAACGGATATGGAAACGAAGGTTTGCACCCGAAAGTAAACCAAGCGTTGGTCCAACACGAGTGACTTCGGTTTTTGAAGTATAAAGAACAGTAGATTATGGTGGCACCATGAGTACAGCAACCAAATCGCTGACGTAATGGAGCAGCAAACCCTGAACAACATATCCATGAGGAATGTGCAACAACACCGTCCTGGATTTCAAACTCATGGATGTCAAAACTAGTATTCATCTCGGAGATAGTCCTCAGAGATATCGGAAAGAGGTCCAAAAGATTCTGAAGGATTCTAAAGGTAAAGTCCGATCCGAGCAAAGTTTCGAGAAAGCTAGTTATCTCAGCAGGCAACGTCAGCTGCCATCAACGTTCTGGGACAAAAAATATCCCACTTTTAGTACAGGACCCCAGAATTCTTCAGACTTCTTCAGACTATAATCATATCTCGCGAATGGCCAAACAAAAGACGGCCTCTGTTGAGGTAAAGTCTTTGACCGGATAACCCAACCGCAGCATCATCAGGTTCACAATACTCGGTATAGATTAATGAGACCTTGGGAAAACCTTTAGTTCAAGAAGTCTCGATCAGGACGTGGTTATGGACCATGGAGTGCTGCACGGGTTGGAAGAAGAAACAGGACAAACACCTGTCACTATGCTTGGCTTTTACTAAACAAACTGTTTCTCCTCTTTCCCTCCTTGGCACAGGGCGAAGAAAACAACTTCTGCAGTGATGATACAGCACGCATGCAGTTTTCTAGGATGTTGGGTTACCAGTTTCTATTCATACTGGTGAGCATGAGAGATACTCTCAAATGTGTGGGTGGGACCTTCATGGAGGGAAAAGTCCCCGGCATGGGAGGGAGCTCAACATTCTTCTTCGTAGGTAAGTCCACTTTCCCCGTGATGGAAGGGATGGGTTGTCCCTTCTCGAAAGTTGACATACAGATCTCAGACTCGTCAAATCTATGCGAGCTATTTAAATGCAAGCATACTTCTCAGATAATCCAGAAACTCGCCTGATGATCTTGAACGTGGAAGTCAACAACTTGACGTGGAGCTTGTGGAAAATCTGGCATGCTTTCCCAAGAAGTTGAAGTTATCTAGGATTCCTTGAACCCCCATTATTTAATAGACGGGATGTTTGGACTTCGGGACGTGATTTCTCCACCGGTTGTGTGCATGAAACGATAAAAAAAATAAAATGTAAGAACCAAACAATCACAGAGTGTGCACCACAAGGATGAGATAACAAGAGGATCTCCTGGGATCCTAAGCCGGTGGGTGGATGTTATGGGCAGCAACAACGATGTCGATATGGGGAATCTCGAATAAGCAGCATGGTGCGGGAAGTTGCGTGGATCATTGACTCACAGGAGACTCGTAACATGCGGGCGGAACACGGAATGATTCTCCCTGAAATTCACGAGTCTATGAATGATAAGGATGAGTAGTGACTGATGCACTGGAGTGACCGAGTGATGTTCTCGGATCACTGCAAATTGCATATGCTAGTTGCAGATTCTCGGGACTAGCAGAGAACCACAAGGAAATCTCCCTTGTCCACATCCTCATGCGGCTGGGTTTTACTTCCAGTAATGTGGTTTTGCGCTATTTGGGACAAATATCTTTTAAAATGGGTGTACCTCGACGCAGCTCGGAGCGTGAGGGAAGGAGAGGTGTCTGGCCAGTCCAGCACCCCGTATAGAAACTGGTGACAAGTGGAGAGCATGCGACACACTGTGATATAAAGGATGGTGGGGCAAAGACACATTTGGTTACTAAACTCGAATTGCACACGCTGCCTGCCGTTCCTGCGTTTGGCTGTTACAAGCTGGATCTGAGCTCCATAGTAGGTTTCGGTGATCCCTATCTTGAACTCGCACGCCTTGGAAATACTCCAAAAACAAAGTAGAGCCAGGACTCAGGTATGACCCGGTGAGGACGATGCCCACTACAGTACGCCTGCGCGGACCTGTGCTGTACCGGGTTACCGGTACTGCGGGAGGGGGAACAGCGGACAAGTAATAGCTGCTGGTGTGTGGTAGTCAAGCCTGCACTCTTCCCGAAAGAAATCACCGCCAAAACAGAAAGCATCAAACATTAAGAGAGCTTGTGAGAGAGAACAGAGGAGAGGTGATCAAGCGAGACTGGAAGAGAATCAACTGCATTCATCTCATCTCTCATCCTTCTCGCCTCGCACTCCACTCCTTGGCGCGCTCGTAGGACCCATACCATGTGTTCGAGGCTGCGTTCGTCCTTCCTTACAGCCACCTCGTTCCATGTGCATCCTGTTTCTTAACATTTTGTTGAATCATAGGTGCCATCGCGCTCATGCTATTCTACAACTATACCAGCACTAAAGTACAGTGATATGCCTATAATTGCAATGCTAGCTGCCGGTAATCAGAATAAGCATTGATTAAAGGAGATGATGGAGAGCAAGTACGTTGCCAAAGTTGGCGAGATCATCTCTCCCAGAAAAGGATGATTTGGCCCACATCATATCCATTGCGTCGCCACCCATTGGTGGATGCTCGCAAACAGGGGCCCCAGATCTCCAGGAATTATTGGGAAGAAACTACTTGTACTATCTGGGCTTGCATAATACACTGTAGTGCGGTCCCGTCGCGAAGCCCCAAAAGAAAAACAAAAGGAAGTCCTCTTCTTTCTCTCTCAACAGAAAAAGCACGTTTTCACTGCACTCTGGGTTTGACCACAAGAGCATTTAATGGCCAACGGATCATACCTTTGTTTAAAAAAGGACCCTTCCCCTCAGGGGCTCTGTGGCGTTTTGTGGGATTTGGGTCTGGGGGAAGAGCACAGCGCAGGAGCGTAGTTTGGCCGGTTGACCTGGTCGCGAGGCATTGATTCACTCCCTCAAAATCAGCTCAACTCATCGTTCCGCCTCTCAATGGGAAAATTCCTTTCTGCATGGTTAGGAGGCTCATCATAATCCACTCTAGGTCAGGGAGAAATGGCGACAGAGAAGGGCGAGAGGGAGAGAGAGAGACAGAGATGGAGGGAGAGAGAAAGTGGAGGGAGGGATTGCGTCTCCCGATCTTTTTGATTGGGCCGGGGGAGCGGTGGGGCCGCCCCGTGGAACAGAGCGACCAGCCTGTCGTCTTGCTGCCGTCCCCAGAAGACTGCAAGAAGCAATAGCATGTGAACAGAATCGGCGGGGCCCACGAGCTCGGTCCTTAATGCTCAGCTCTGACACATGCTTGTACGCTAGCAGTGTGCAACTTAACCACATCACAGAACCTATAAGCACCCGAGAATCAGCACTCCCAGATCTCTAGCCGACCATGTGGCTTGAAAGCCAGAACAAGCCGAAATAGAAAATCATGCTCGCCGGAGTGTGCAAAAAGGCCCTCCCACACTGGGCTCATCCCACAAGGAAAGCCAGAAAGATTGGACGTTTGCCACAGGCATTCAATGGAGCGCTGCCTGCCTGCCTGCCTGCCTGCCTCCTCCTCCTCCTCCCTGCCTGCCTGCTTCCCTGCATCCCTGAGTCGTGACTGACCACCGACGCTGGGCACCATAACAAAACGGGCATATGAATGTCGCCGGTGGAGCGGCTAGGCTTGCGGCCCTGCGACAAATCAGTCCGGCGACCTTGGTGCACTAACTGCTCTGCCGCGGCCCCTGCCACTGCTCTGCCCTTGCTCCTTGTACAACATCAACTGATCCAGTGCCCTCCGTCCTTATCGGCCTCCTCCTCCTGTACAGTGAGGTACACGCTTCCGACCTCTAAGCTCCACGAGAATGTACAGTATATCGGTTTCACAATGCGCCATAATAATTCGCTCCCCCGCATAAATACTTGTCGAAATGATTCTGATCGCCTCCCCTTCCCTTCCCTTCCCTTCCCAGCTACTCGCCTCGCTGTGGACAGGATCGTAACCTTCCTACGAAGTTGTAGAGTCGCTTCGAGTTCCCCGAGATCATCTCGAATCGCGCTCTGCCCTCCTCCTCGCGGCCTTCGGTACCGCACGAAGCATAACCCTCCCTCCCTCTCCGTCGGGGCCGACGGCCACCATAACAGAACCTCTTCGAAAGTAAAGAACGAATGCATGAATACGTACCGGCAGATTATTGGTTCGTTCTGCGTTTGAAGACAATCGTTCACTTCCTCGTAACAGCCGATCACGGCATTCTTCCTTTATTATATGATTTATTCGTGTTGCAACAGGACATTTATAGCTCGGCTTTCTTCCTTTGCTAGCTCGACAGCATGCATGAACTACATTATAGCAAAGTATTCATCATTCATATCCTCCGACCAAATCTTATTTTTATGACAGACGATTGAATTGACAATTTCCTAGTTTTTGGTGTTCATATACTAAAATATTCTTGACATACGTCTATTTCATAGTGACTTCGTTTCTTTAGCTTCTATACTCTCATATTCTATTTTCTGAACAAGAAAAAAAAATCTGCACTTATTCTTCACGTAAAATTGTTTTTATTTCATCAGCATATGATGAATGAATTATATATACTTACTGATCACAATACGAGGGAAGAAAATAGATCAAGGAACTATGTATACTGCCTGAAGATTGATGTATATTACATTAACTCTGCTTATATGAGTGGTATGCCGAAATATTCTATTTTACAGACGCGTTGGTATTTTAATTTCTTAGTCACGGTTATTCTATTCATAAAAATAACATTTCTAATAACTTGTTTTAACTACCTGGTTCCAAATCTTTACTGATTTATGAGACGTTCTGACAAGCTTATAGTTTGAATTTATCATCTAGTAAAATGAAAATAGCACATTTTATTGGATAGAATTTACAAATTCAATTGCAAAATATGAATCTAGGATACTCTCCAAATATAAGCCTAATAATGTATTCTACTGATTCATGTTTTTTTTTAAAGTTCTATTTTATCATTGAGAAACAACCAACAAAAACTTTTTTCGTGTATGTCATTAGTTTTTACTACATTTTATTATTGAGAGATGTGCAAAGTAATATTTATATTCCTTCGAGATATAACTTCAGATTTACACGCACAACACGCACCTTCGATTGTAATCTAAAAGACGTCGTCTAATATCTGAATCTAGGCTATTTCTCATCATATGCTCGCGTACGAAGATAATCACATGGGCTCTATATGACTCATCTCTGGGTCGTCATGGTTGTTGAACTTTATTTCAGCATAATCCAGAGGTTCTCTTCCGAAACGAATTTTTCTTCATGAGAGAAAGGACGAATTTCCATATTTAAGAAATGATTTTTACATGGCTTTGATCGCTCGGTAGTTCTTGCCATCGACTTTACACTCCATGACTTCCAGAGTCCCAGTTCAGTGACATAAGTTTGGACACTCTCGGGAACAGATGGTGGGGAAGATATAGGTCACCAGTCGTAGCTTTTGGCCATGCAGGCTAAGCTTCGAAGATGCTCGGATGGTACTTTATTTAAATGGTCTGGGTTACTTTCTCGTTGTGGACCGGAAAGTGCGTTGCTGGTTTGTCTACCGATAGCGCGAAATCAGTAATCCTGGTGATCAACGATGAATCGAAAGCTCGCGGGTCCGCTGTACTCACTGTTACGCCATACGAAGTCATAAGAGGGAGAGGCCTGCAGCAATGGCTGACGACTCTGCTCAACGCCAGGGCCATAGTTTCAGACGAGATCTTCTGCAATACAGCGAAGAAAGGCGATCCGACCTCTGTTCGAGGGCGAGGAGCGAGTAAGATCGCACAAAGGGTGGGAAGAGCCCATCGGTTTCGACCTCCGTTCGAGGCAGCGTTCCTTTTCTTGGTTTCTTTTGGTTGTCTGAATAAAAGTTCTCTGTGTTCCTCCAACAAAAACAAAAAAGTTGATGAGATCGGATCACAGAAGGAATCCACGTTCATCCATTCGTCTCTGCCAGGAGAACAGGATACAGCGAGAAGAGATGAGGATTCTCCCTTGGGTTACGGGATAGAGGCTGAGGCCACTCGAGTGACGTCAAAGCGTTACTCGCCATGCTCGCACTTACAAATCTCACCGGAACCAAGCCGCCATGGCCGGTCTACCGAGCTGTGCTGTAGGCCAATTGTTAGGTGAGAAGCAAACTGCTTGCCACTCACTCTTCAAATCTCATCACAAGGTACGTGCCAAGTAGGTAGGGCACGCCGCGCATCGTGAACTCGAGTCGGAGTGGAGTGGCAGACCAGGTGTACATCCGTCGTCGTAGCAAACACCAAAGTGAGAAAAGCGAAAGCCGAGCCACAGTTGCAGCACAATTATCATTGTGTACTGCATTACGGTGCTGTCCACAACACCTTCATTGCGCTTCTTCCTGTCCTCACCATCCTGTACCTCCCTCCTTTTGGCAGGCATAATTCCACTTCCTACTTCCCGTGTGACTAATTTCTTTCATCATTTTCTTACTTGTTACTTATTGGCGCCTAGCGCCATCCTACCCCCTCGGTTCATCCCTGTACGACATGATGGATGAGGTCTTCCCATCCTTTTTGCCCTATTGCTCGGTTTTCTCTGGTTCCCTACCTTTCTTTATGTTCTTTGAGCTGCCAGAGTGCACTAATTTGGCATGCGTTGGACCCCGCGCATCACAAGAAAATCACCTCCTAATAACTCTGCGTTACGCGACCTGATCTCTCGACTGTCTGTCACTGCACCTCCCTTCATCGCTCGCTCCCCCCGATCCTCACGACACCACGCATTCGACCATAACTTACGCTACGCTCAAAGCGAAATGAGCCCCCAATCGTCACCTCTTGCACCGCCGCGACACACACACAGGGCACGCCTACATGGTCAAACTTCCCCCCTTTGATCTCTCGAACCCCCACCCCAAACTTCTCTCGATCAATCAATCAAGCGCAGAGCGCACTACTGTGATCATTCATTACCCCGGACTTTGTCGTTCCTCCAGGTAAGATTACGCCCCGCAACTGTGCCACCGAAGAACCACACAACATTCCGACCTCCGCCACACGCGATACGCCTATACCTGTACGAATGATTCGCTCGCTGCGATTCGATCGTCCGTCCAGTTCTTGTTCCCGGATTCCTGCCCTTCGAGCTCATTCCTGTGCAACCGAACGCCCTCCAGGTCCTCGTCCTCGTCGTCGTCGGCGTCAAACGTCGTCTCGTTGCGCTCATCGTCGTGCGCGTCCCACTTGTCCTCGTCCAGGCCACGGGCATGAGCCTACATGCATAGAATAGTCCCTCCTAGTCTGTCCACACATGCATGGACCATGCATGCGATCTGAATGCTATCATGTAGGGTATGTGGGAGACCCCGCGGGCCGCGCCTGCCCCTGCTGCTCTCGGCGTACGGCCCCGCAGAGGACCGGGACCAAGCCTTGCGACCTCGACGCTCTTCCCGAGGACTTTCCCCAGGACTCCTCTCGTTTCGTTCCCTTCCTTCCTTCCTCCTCCTCATGCTCCTCCTCCTCCTCCTCCTCCTCACTTTCGTTCACGGTAGGTTCCTCTTACTCGGTAGTACTGTACTGTGGTAAGTGGTAAGTGGTAAGGGCCGGTACCATGGATGGATGGATGGATGGAGGGAGGGAGGGATGGATGGATGGATGGCCGGGGCAAGGACGAGAGCGACACGTTCCGCACGGGATCGGACCCGCGCGGTCGAGTCAAAGAAGGAGATTGTCTCGGGCAATTTGACCCGATTGATTCCGCTTACGTGTTCCAGTCTGAGTATTGATTAGTACTAAATCGGTGACCTCGCTGCGGCCATTGGCCTCCTGGCGCACAGTGATACAGATCTCACGAGGACGGATTGACGCTCTGCGTTCCATTGAGGGCGAGGAGTCAAATTCGATCATGACCGACACGGTCCACTCGGTTGCTCCGGCCCCAGGAAGGACCACGCCATGTGGAGTATCCAACCATATGCTCTGATAATCATCTTCGTGCGTGCTGTAAGCTGTGCATCAAGAATGAATCAGTGTCCCGTGTTTCAGGACCACTTTCGATCGTCGAGTGGCCCGCCCTGTCGACTGCTGCTGGTCTGGTGTACCCTACGACTGAAGATTTACTGTGGTTGATCGATTCGCATAGAGAAAGGCGACGCATGGAATAGAATATGTATTATAGCCGATCCCTTAAAAAATCTCGGATACCGTCTCGAAAATGTTGTCTTTCCGAAAACTGATTCGAGTGCTGGGAGATCTGATTTGTGGTTTGCTTCTCGCACGCTGGATCTAGGCTCGTAGGATTCCAGGTGAGCGAGGGCTTTGTTAAACCGACGGACTCGTCGGAGGGTTCGGGAATTCTGCTCACTGGCTTTTGGATGAGAACAAGGATCAACGTACGAAACGAACGAAAAGATTTTGTCAGTATGTGAAAGTATATACAATGCGAAACTAAAAAATAATCGCGTGCGAGATAAGACAAGAGGTGACAGGTTCTGGATATGAAACGAAACTCGCGTCTATGATGACAACAACTCAAAGTCAGGATCTTGTTCCTTCTGACTGACGTCTGCGTGCTGACTAGAGCCCGGATCTCTTGGCATCGAATTGTGAATGAATTCGGGCGATTTGCAATGAGAGAGTAACGTGGCTCCTTAGCAAATTTTGAAACCTCGAGATCAAGAGAATGGGATTTCGAAAGGCATGCCCTGACGTGGGTACCCCAGTGACGACTGCAGTGCTTTACGTGCAGTTTGTACGCGAGGGATCACAGCACCAGGACTTTAAGAAATCAGCAAATGAGACGCGAACGAATCGCAACGCCAGGATTGAAATCAGCGCATACGACACGATGATGATGTGTTCCTTGACTATTCACCACCAACAGTGTCCTTGCTCGAAGTGATCCTTTGTCTCACATCAGGTCAAAACTCCAAACCTCAATATCGAAGCGGGTGCGTCGAGAAAGAGAGAATCAAAAGAAGTGCCGAGCCATGCCAACTATCAACATCAGGCCGCCTGTCGAAGTCTGAGATGATCAACTTTGACCATCTACATTGAATCCCGTCCAGAGATGTTGGTTTATTAGGCAAGTCAGTCAAGGCTGCGTGAATGAGACCAACACATGGACGTTTCAAAACGGGCGAATAAATCTCGCTTCAACCCCTCCTCCTTGTAAATATCGAGTGACATTGGGATTTTCATTGAAACTTTTGCATCTTTCCTTGCATCAATCATTATACTTCTTTTCGGTAGACTCGAGACGTACTGAACATCATGGAAGGATTCTTTCATTCTATCCTTCCTTCAAGCGGCAAGTGAGCTGTTGCTAGGCTTGCTTTGGAATCATAACAAAGTGCACGGCTTTTCTAATCCGAGCTTCACACAACGCCGGTGACTTCCTACCATCGTGATGCCAAATAAAGAATATCATTTGTGTTCCAAGGCAAGTCGTTTACTTCCACCTCCGCAGTCAAAGAAGCCTCAGTGGTTCTATCTAGGACCAACCTCTTGACTCCTCGTAAATATTTCATGTCAATGTCAACTACAGTTTTCTAAACTCATCATTGCAGGGAAATCATGGACTTTAATTTCTATACACTTACACGGCCTTTGCAATATTCCTAAAGTTATGGAAGAGAGAGAGGGAGAGAGAGAGAAACGGCGACGCATGGAATCAAATTACACTCTTGATTTTAGTTTAAAAGCTCTCAAATTTACTGTACTGCAAATGAAACAGTTCCTCTTCAAACGAGTGTGATATTGAAACCATGGAAGCAACATTGAGCTTGTTATCGGGTGGGCGAAAACACAAGAACCGCTCCCAAGTCCGTCCAACGACTGCAGATCATCAACTTCACACCAGCAAACTTTCAATCATCAATGGCTCAAGCACGATGCAAGGCTCTTAAAGAAGATGAGCGCATTGAGGTCATTACTACGTGTCCCTTCCTCAAACAAACAAGAGGAATTTTGTTCAAATCTGTCCTTGCTCATCTGAAATCTTTCCGATCCATCCGTATCATCACTCCTCACGCACTTTACACCGATAAGTCTTTGGCCTGACCAGTTCAGCGATCCACCTCATTTCTCGAAATGGAACTACTAAAGTATGACCCTGAACTGCCAAATGGAGATTTCAAACAGCAGACATTATGCACAAGATGGTGATTCTAAACAACGGCTACTTAACGAGTATAAGTTAGCTGAGGAGAATTCAAGCAAGTGATTATGGTATTCCCCACATTTGAGAAGTTATCGACTTTATCGTTTCCATTGTTTTTTCCAGGGAGAAAAGTGCCCTGACGACCGATGAGTGAGCATAAATACTAGATTGGCCCTAACAATATATATCACAGCCTTTTGAAAGCTAAAAGGCAGAGAATTTGAGAGAGTAAGTCCAGGATCAGGAAGGTACACACGCTTTGACGAACGCATGTTCAGTTGATTCTTTGCTTTTACCAAAAAGATAGATCCTATGTGGGACCCCATCTGCTGCAGATCTCCTGCAGCTTGAGATCTAGTCTTGGACCAGACATGAACGTCGTTCATAAAGTCCCGTTTCAATCCAGAAGGTGTACTGATTCCCACTTCATAAATCTCACCAGTTATGTCGAGTTCTCCTCATTCTCCGTCTTCTGGACTTTCAAGCCAATGCTAGATTAAGATTCTTACATCATGATTGAAACTTTTCAACACAAGGATTAATGCTTGCAACTTGCGACTTGTCTTTCACATCTCACGATAACATGCACGCTATTTCACATCTTGAAACACTCTTTCTATGGAATATTTCTGGAGAGCAAGACAAACCAAATGATGACTAAAAGTTTTTGTTTGCTACAAATTTCTGAGATCTTCTGTAGAGCACATCTTTGCCAAACAAAAATATTCTTGTTATCACGAGTAACGAGAACAACTCAGGTTTGAAATTTCAAACATAAATATGTATACAACTAAGAAATTAAGAATGTGTTTGAAATCATTTGAAATTTCCAATAAATTCTTGATACCTTAATTATTAAGCAAAAACGTCGCAGTTATCTGTTCCTAATACTAAAATTTGGCTTCAGAATTCACATTTGAAATTAAAACGTTATATAATTTATTTTTTAAAGATTAAATAATTTTATGATTATCGTATGAACTAAGTATTCAAAGCTTAGAGAATAGTTACATGTTGAATAAAAATTGACATGATTTTACTTCATACATGTGAAGAGCATTATTTTTGTTTTTGTATAAATGATATCATAACCCAAAATAATTTATGAAAAATTAAAGCATATCTTTTCAAATAATATCTTCTAATTAATTTAATTGATATGATCCATCCACAATCAGTATCTTGAACAACTATTGCTATAAGCAAGCAACTGTATTATTTGATGTGAATGAATGTCAAAAAATAAAAATAAAATTATGCTTTTTTTTATCTAGAATGATGAAACTATTTTCTCAAAATTTTTAAATAAAGAAGATAAATTGATCAGAAGGAGCTATCAAATGCAACTATTTCACTAATTATTTATATTTACAGTCTTAACAAATATATGCATGCAATCTTGTAAAGTTTAGCATGATATGAAGCATTTTTATTGTATTTTTGTATCTGCAAAAAAAATCTATAAATGCAAATGTTAGTTTGATTCAAAAATCAATTTCCATAGATTTTTTCAATACATTTTTTCAATCTATAAACAAAATTATCTTTATTATTACTCAATCAATAAATATTCACACATTTTATATTATCTTACGATTATTCATAGCAAAACAACATGATGACTCTTTCTCATATAATAAAAACATCTTTCTAAAATAACACATTTTCTGAAATTTATATCTAAGTATTAATTGATCAAAAGTCAAATCAATATGAATCACACACCAAAAATCACTTTTAGGTAATGTAATTCATAAGTATTTCTTTGGATTATCTAATCTTGAAATAAGCAATCTTAAGTTATGCATTGTTAATAGGAAAGGAAAATATTTTCTTTGTCGAAACTTATGAATGAAATAGTTGTGAAAATTAATATCATGATATATTATCGACTATGTATCATGATATCATGATTTGTTTGTTTTGGTGCATACTTAACCATATAATAAATTTAGGGTTCCATGCATGTAGCTGTTTTTCATTTTTCATATTTTGACCAATATGTTTTATAAAAAAAGATCTTAAAATTTAATATTATTTATTTAATATTTATTTAAATTATCCT